GACACACAGGAGACTGCTGAAGCAGTCACCATGTTAACCCAAGGATTACAACTTTGTAAACCCTATGAGGCAGTTCTATTCTGTCCTAGAGGGGCACTGTGAGAATCAACACAACAGTAGTGGGATTGGTACAAAATTTGTCATTTAATTATATTACTTCCTATGTTTGATTCCATACTTGGATATTTTTTCCCACACTAAAAGTTAGGATCTTATTGATTACCCATGAAACAGTCTTTTCTCAAAAACAAATGATTCTTTAACTTGCTCAAAATAGTGTGATCACACCTCTATTTTTGTTATAGGTCTAAGGCATTGCAAAAGCTAGACAGAAAGTACAATTTCAAGGGTGCTATGTCCTTGGCTGTATGTGAATGTTAAGAGCTATTAAAAAAATATTTCTTAGTCGTAGTCAATGTTTCTGTCTTACTCTCAACTGAGTAAATTCTCAACTACTCTTGGGCCTTTCTTGAAAAGTTTATCAGCCTTGGTTACAGTCTGCCCTCATCATTTTATATTTCATTACTGGCCCCTTCAACCACCTCCGGTTCTTGATGGTCAACCAGTGAAAGAATGTTCATGCGTCTCTTTAATCAGTAACTTAACCCCTCAGTGACTCTACCACCCCTGTTCTTCAAGTAAATGATCTTTAAAGAACAACAATATACTGGAATGAAAGACAGAGTTTGCTATTCTTTGGCGTGAACATAAGTGTAACAAAGCACTGAGAAGTGTATTAACACACATACCTACATTCTTAGCAGCTTTTATCAGGAGCTTAGATTCAGTAGTATTTTTCAGATGCTATTATCAATAAATTGGAGATACAAATAGATTAAAGCATACATGAACATTAAATCTCCATTTTCCAACAAGGACAGCTGAAGGTGCACTGACGGTGAGGAGTAAAACAGAGACCCAGGCCAACATTTCACCTTTTTTTTAACAAGAGACCATCAGAGTGTACTGACCACCGTCCTAAAACTTGGGAAGGCTTGATTATTAACATATTAAAGATCAAACTCTGTTTCTGCTCTTAGTTACATCTGATAAAAATATATTTCTTGGAACCTTCAAATGAAGATGTTTTTTACTACTTACCGAGGTACAGTAAAGCACAAAATGCAAAAGCATATCATAAAAAAAACCCTAAAAAAAAAAACCAACCCCAAAAAAGCCCAAGAAACAGAAAAACCAAAGCCCAAAGAAGCCAAATTAACAAAAAAAACCCAAAACCTAAAAAAGAAGCATATCACGGCTGACTTGCCCTTTCCCATTATTTTCAAAAGTGACAACAGAGAAGCTACTCTTTAAATTGTCAGTCTCAGTATTTTTAGAAAAAGAGTTTACAAAACCAAGCTTTTTGATTGGCAGAATATTAAAAATTGCATTAAATAGAAAATAGTTGTTTTGCTATGCAAATATGATTACCTTGTTTTATATAAAGAACATACAACAGAGGACAACATATTATGTGCCAGTTAGTCCAAATCAAGTGACAGCTGACCCTCCAGTGGGTTTCACAGGCTGTGAATTGCATGGGAGGCGAATGCTCATCCTTCTTAAGCAGAGCCGCTGGTAGATTCAAACTGTCTGCCTTGGCCGCACAATTCTTTCTCACTAGGCCCCAGTACTCCCAGAAGAGAGCATAGGTCACTCACCTCCACACAATGGCCCTTCTGTCTAAAAGGCATAGGGTTGAAGTAACTAGAATGGTTTTAATTTTCTATATTGGTTTGTGGCTATATAATAAAAAAAATTATATTGTTCAGCAGGACCAGGCCCCAATGTTTTTGAAAAATAAACCTTGATCAATGGTCATTTTCCCCTTTAGATCAGGGGCACCTTTCACTTGATTCTTTTTAAACTTCTTGTTTCCTGAAGTTTGCATGCATGTTTCCACGGGCTCAACTCTACAACCCAGTGAGTGATAAACACTTTGCATATGCTTGAGGTAAGAAATACAACCTTGACTTCAATACTTATAACAATTTGTGTTTTACCAGACTTTTTTTCCCATTTACACTCAATTGGTCATAACCATTGAGCTGATTCCAACTCACTATCTTCCATCAAGCCACCTAGGCTATGAATGAATCTTTACAGATTGCCTGTATTTCTCCCCCAGTGTGACATGGTAAGCACAACACCAGGGAGCTCTGGTGGTCTTGTGATAAAAAGCTGCAGTGCAATACCAAAGGTGGTTGGTTTGAACCCACAGCTGCTCCATAGGAGAAGGATGGGAAATATCCTCCTGTGCAATTTACAACCTCTGAAAACCTGCTGGAGGGTCAGCTATGGGTCGGTTCCAACTCGACAGTTCACAATGACAACAACAAGCACTACACCACCAGCGCTCCACTTTAGAAGTATCCTTTTAATAAGAAACCCTGCTGCAGCAATGGCAAAGTGCCCGTCTGCTAGCCAAAAGATCCCAAGTCAGCAGTGACTGTGAGATTTCTGCTCCCATAGACAGAAGAGCCTAAGAAACTCTATGTGGGCAGTTCTAGTCTGTCCTATAGGGTCCTGATGATCCAGAACTGACTTTACACAGCACAAATGCACCCTTTTAAGAAACTAGTTATTCAGAATTATATACACATAAGGTAACGATACCTTATTTACAATAACATAGTGATTATGACCTTGACTATTTCTCAGTGTATAAATTGTGTATCAAATATTATCACATTCCAGAGATTTCTACTGGGAAAGGGCAGAGAATAGAAAAACTCTATGAAAATAGAGTGATTTTCATTTTTCATGGACTCTCAAGAGACACTGAATCCTGAATATAGTTTGGTTGGTATTAATATTAAAGACGTTAATTTCTTGTCTCTGAATCAAAAAGAGAAGTACACAAAAGAATAGGCTACTGAACAGTTTCTACCAACAATGAGGCTAAAACCTCTTCAGTCTCCTGTGGATTCACTTCTGCAAAAAGACAAAAGGCTTTTATTAAAATTCAGTAAGAAGCATGCACAATCCACTAAGAATATAGACAAGGCTTTATGTTATATTTATTTATTTTCCAGCTTATACAAACTGGATGTGGAAGCATAAACATAGTACATTTCTACCATCTTCAACAAAAATATAACCAATATGTACAATTATTGTATTAAAAATACAAAAGGGATACAGACTCCACCAATGTCTTTCTAAAAGACATACAGGTACAAGTAGTATCAAAAGTATGAGGAAATCACCAGTTAATTGTACATTCTGCACTTGACATCACAGAGCGAACTGAGATTAGCAGTCCTATGTTCTACAATTACTTAATGCTTAGATAACATTTGTGCAACTTGTGGTAGAGCTAGGTTTCTGTCTTTCTATATGCACATGAGGTCCATAGCCTATATAATAAAACTGGCAAAGAATGCATATTACATGTAAAATTACAAATGCATAATTGACAATGTAATATATAAGTAGACAAATGCCATGATACAGAAGAGAATTATTTAAATAAAGCACTGACATTGTTTGATACAGTGAAAAAACACTGCAATTCGACTTTTAAAATTTGAAGCTATTTACGTTTATCTACTGATCAATATGATCAGCTGAATTTAATGGAAAAAAATCCAAGACCAGCAGTTCCTCACATTTGAGTACTACTCGGATTGGCAGCCTTCACTTTTCCGGAGTCTGTGCAAAAACAACACAAAAATAGAGTGGAGGGGTCATTTTCAGTCACAGGGTTAATAGCAGCTGTGAGCAGGTGGTTGCTACACTTAGGCCTTTTCTCTCAGTGTCCATAAAGCCACTGACAGGTTAGTCTTTAGTGACTAATCTGCCTTACAAAGGCTGGCATCTCTAACCAGGTCTTTGATCTTTTCTCACCTTAAAGGCTTATTTATTCCCTATTGTCAATTCAATGAAGGGAGGCTGTCTTGAAAGAGCAGTATTAACAGCTCGCATTAGCTCCAACATCCCAAGCTGCTTTCACTGCAATGCTATCCAGTTATAAATGTTTCTCATGAAAAAAAAAAATATCCTAGAATTCTAAATTAACAGAAAATCAAAGAAATGATTTAAAGGTGGGGTTTGCCATCCATTTCAATGGAGCACGACACGCCTTCCTCAAATGACGCCTGTCCCGCACTCCATAAGGCTCAGACATAGGATTACAAGAGTCCTATTTTCCCTCCCCGGCCATGTGCAAACAGTTTTACAGAAGAACCGCACCCACTGGGGAAGGAGTGGATGAGGTGTCTTGGGATTAAAGTAATTGGCTAACATTTTAAACTTCCAGGATAGGGCACTTCACAGGGGGGCCAGAAAGACACAAGAAGACAAGATCACAACAAGCCATATCTTCCTGCTTCTTAGTGGGGCCACACCCTGTCCGGCATATTTGGTTTTTTAGAAACCCAGGCTGGCAACCCTACTTAAAGGTTCAAAATAATACTGTAATCATTACATGAATATAACATTTCTCTCTGAACACAATATTTAAACTCATTTTAAAAGGGGGAAAGGGGTGGGGGGAAGGAGGACATTGTAAACAAGTGGACAAGCACTGTACTCAAAGGATTTCATTGGTTGTTTTTGTTTTTTTGTCTTCCTTGGTGGGTTCAAGGTCCCAAGTAGTTCAATGGCTAGCTTTGCTCATTATCCCAATGAGACCAAGTGCTAGGATTGGATGGAATCTAAAAGGAAGAGTATGTGAAAATCCTTCCAGGCATTGAGAAGTGCAGCCAGAGTGAATCATCTTGTTGTGATGATCTTGGAATTTGGAATGATATCGTGTGATGTGGCAGGCAGCAACAGTGTGAGCTCAAAGATTGCTGCACTGTGCATTTCAAGCAACAAAGTCTGAAAAGTGCCAGGGCAATTTCTTCACAGTATTTCACATGCAAAGGGGAAAGGAAGAAGGGGAGAAGAAGCCCCGTGCTGTTTTAAGGCAGGGAAGGAGGCAAACTGGTCTACCATCCTCAGATTCCAAGTTCCAGGCTCCAACGCTTGGGACCTCCTCTTGTGCTCTCCTTGTAGGCGGTTCACTCTGGATCCAGGAAAGCCTGTGCCTCAAACAGCAGATACTTGTTCATCTTCTGCAAACACAACCAGGAAAGGGACAAGGGGTGGGGGGGGGAAAAAAATCAGTGCTAAAGCAAGTAATTTCTTGTGTTACGAAAGATATCTATGAATGTGCTAAGTAAAAATACCACAACTCTTCTTGTTAGTACAAATCACTTGAAATCTGTTCTTTTTTCCCCCTAAGCAATGATTGTCAAGAATTTTTAAAATTTTATACCAGTATACATCATGCATATATTTACAAACATATACAGAGCACAGGCCACCTAGGGTAGGATGACTGGTATTTATTTAGCCAGAGCAACAGAGAAAGGAGGAGAGCCAGGAAAAGGAGAATGTTATGAAAGGTATGGCTACCGGGTGAAAAACTGCTCCGCTTTGCCAGGAGACCAGAAAAGCTGGGTGGTGTCTGGCTACTATTAGTGAACATTCTGACCAAAGATTCAACTGAGAGTTCAGATCAAAAGAGGTAAAATGTAGAGCAGAATTTAAAATTCTCATGGACTCTACACTTTCTGTAGCTGTAAAGGTGGGATAAATCCCTGAAAATAAGATAGATACACTTCTCTGAAATAATAGCTAAACAACCCCAAAATATTCCTTGAAATCTTCTCATCACCAAGCAATAGTTTAACCAGTGATAAATGTCTGCTTAAACCACTATGCATTCTTAAGATCCTTCTATAAGAACTATCTAAATTGACAACAATAACTTGAAAGGTTACACAGCAATCTTAGGGAAGGTGCATTTATGTTAATGAGAAGGAACAACTCAGAGAGAGGATGGCTACACAACTGGAAGAATGAATGCTAATCAATGGGACATGGAGAGACAAATGAGCTATTGGATGTCATGCTGTCTATATTCTCGACCATAAATAGATATAAATTTATTTATAAATAAACACAGAAATATGCATTGTACATTTACTGATGGAGAAATAATAAACAACTCACTAAAAAAAGTTAGGAAAGAGCATATGCCATTTAAAAAATAATACACAGTCATACACACATAATAAGTATTGATGGCTATATAAAAAAGTTAATATTGGTTCTGGAAAACAATGTATTCAAATTTTATAAATATGTTAGTATAATAAAATAAAAAAATCAGTAATAGTTATCTGCAAGTGATAAGTAGGACTATATGTAATTTTAATGTATAGTGTTTTACGTTTCCCATCCTCATCTATGATGATTTTCTGTGTAATAAAACATTTTAAAACCAAATGTTAAAATGGAGGTGGAGTGAACAATCTCCCTACTCATCTTCAACCAGTATGGCAAGGTAGATTTTCAGAAAGGTGGCAGCAAATTATAGTTAAACAATAAAATGTATTTATCAGATTTTTTTTCATTAGAATTCATAAAAGTTTATATTATTTCACAGAAAATTTTAAATATCCAATTTGTTTAAAAAAAATTCTTTAAGATACAAAATTGTGAGCCTGTATTATGTTGCTTTAAAAAAATGGCTGCAAGAAGTACTTTAATTCTTGTGAGAATTAAACAATGAAATAAACTATGCACATATAAGTGACTCCATCTGTAATCTTTGGTATTTTCTTAAGCTATTTTGGGGCATGGGGGAAGACGTCATAAAAGTGGTCAAAAGGTTTAGCCCTAAATTTAGGACCCTGAATAAGGAAGGTTTTTTCATTTTAGTATATGGTTAGAGACTCAGCTATGCACCAAATAACACAAAATGTGAAACAAAGATAAATACTGGAACCATGTTATAAGGTTCTATAGTATGTCTAACTATAAAGTCCTAAGAATGCATATATACCATCTTCCTCGGTGGAAAACCCTTGAGACTGATAGGGAGCGAGGCGTGGGTCTGACTCATTTGGTTTATGCCACTGAGGTTTGTTCACAGGCCTGCTGCTCGCTGGATGTCCATGAGGCTGCTGTCCGGGAATGGACCCTGGCATCTCTGAGGGCCGGGCAACCATCCTCGACCGCTGCAGTGCCACGTTGTAGTCCGGAGGTTTCCTGGCTGGATGAGAATGCCCTTCTGGAAAGTCCGTGATGGGGATTCCAATGTAGCCTGGAGGAGTCGGTGGTGGCTCTCGATACCTGCCCTCCTTCCGTGCTATAGTAAAAGAAGTGGGACAGCAGTTAGAATAGTTCACATCACAAAGATGTACTTGATAATTATGATACAGTAAGTTTAGATTAAAATAGTCTGCACAGTGCTAACAATAAATGTAATTCTGCATGGTCTGAGGAAGCAGCATAGCAGGCAGGGAAATGAATGATGTTGATTAAACAGAAGTATTTATGATGCAGATCACTTTGAAGTGAAACGACTGTTGAGAGACACTACCGATCGGTGTACTTTAAAACGGACTACTTCCAATCTTGTCTTCAACTATAAAAATAGTAGTAAGCAAGGACAAATACTATATAAAACCATTATTATAGAAGGAGTATGAGGATCCAAGGGGAGGGGAGGAGGTTGGAAATAGAGTTATAGGGTGGGGGTAGGGTGTTAATCACAGGGTTGTACAATTCCATGGGTGGGTGGGGTGAATGAACCGGGAAGGACCTTTTGTGAAAAACAATGTATTAAAACAAACAAATAAACAAACAAACAACAAAAAAACAATGTATTCAAACTTTGTAAATAAATGGGAATAAAATGTAAAAAAATAGTTAAAAAATCAAACAAAAAAATACTACAACGTATGGAATAACTGTATGAAATACAATACGATTGAAGGAATGTGAAAAACACAATGTAAATAAGTCAAACACAATGTACATGAATTCTGTTTACAAACCAACAAAAAATATATTTAAAAAAAAAATAAGATCAGCATTTAACCTTTAGTTTACTGGAGAGGAAGATCATCAGTAAGATGAACTGAGTCATGACTGCAACAATGGGTGACAACTATGCATGGTGGCAACTATGAGGGTGATTGATTTGTTAGACATAGGGTGGCTGGCTTTCAGGGTTCACTCTATCACAACAAGCACCACGCCTGGAGCAAGTGAAGCTGTTGTCATCAAGTCAATTCTGACTAATGGAAACTCCCAATTATAATCTGTAAGGTTTTTACTGCCTCATTTATTTATTTATTTATTTTTGTAAAATAAACCTTTCTTACTTCAGTCTTCTAATTTGTAGATAGTAGCAGGTAACAATATAAAATTAAAAGTTTCTTAGAAGGATTTACATTGGACTATATATAATTAAAAGTCATAATATCATTTTTTTTTTTTTTTAAATAAAACAAGTCATTTGAATTGTGAAAGGGCCAGTTCTCATGCACCATGGAAGACGGCTCTGGCCTCATAGTCGGTGGTGAGAGTGGGCTAGGAACCTCTTCTTGGAGCCAATGAGAAACTGGCGCAGAAGTGGAGGATTTTTTTAAAACATGTCACTCGAATTGCAGAAGGGCCCGTTCTCATGTGACATGGAAGATGGCTCTGGCCTCTTGGTCAGTGGTGAGAGCCAAAGGTGGGTTAATCCACGTCCCTCAGGCCTGTTTTTAATTGTTTTTGGTCAAACATTCTTCTAGGTCGTTGTCCTGGTCATTTTTAAGAAATAAAGTCCATCCATGCTATGTCTATCAGGGTTCAAAGTGCCAACTATCCAGTCAGCAGATGAACACATTAACTAACAATACTACTCAGGGATTAGGACACACTTTTGGCGTTGAGTACCGTAGAGTCAGAACTGACCCACAGCTGGCCCTCCAGGAGGTTTTCAGAGGTAGTAAATCACATGGGAGGGGACTGCCCCTCTTTCCCCAGGGGAGCAGTTGGTAGATTTGAACCAAGTGACATTAGGTTGGCAGCGCCACTCCTTACCACTAAGCCACCAGCACTTCCTAGAGCATATTAGAGGCTGGTAAAAATTCATTTTCCTCCTGTCCCAGAGGCAATGAAAGCTATTCAATCTTTACTGGCATTTCCCTTTACCATGTAGAGAATAAATGTCATACTACTTTCAGGTGACTGATCTTCACTTTGGAAAATAAGTTTAAAAACTTGGGAAAAACTGTACCAAAAAAAGTGATAATTTAATAAATTCAAACTTTAAGTTATGTCCTTTTCTTAAAATTTTTTTCATTAATGTCTATGACTTGCAATTTGTGTAGATAAAGTGCAAGTTTTATTTATTTTAATTTAGATTTATTAATTTTTCTTTTATTTAAAATTTTATTTTAAAATTCAAAGTAGAATTTGTTAAAAGATAGTATTTTCAGAAAATGACAACAGAGAGACCATATCTATCTATCTATCTATCTATCTATCTATCTATCTATCTATCTATACTATTATCTTCTTATTAATCCTTAAGGGATAGTAATTTTGACATTCAAGAATAATATGGTAAAATAACTACAATGTCCCTACTAATAAAAGTGAGATCTGTAATTGATTCTATTTCAGAATTTCTCACCTACATCACGGTATTCTTTGGTATACTCAAACTGGACAGTGAACATGCCAGAAAACAACATCCGAACAGAACTGAAGGAACATGAGAGTTTTTACAACAGAAACAGCAATAAAGTGCTTGTGTGTTCAATGCACTTATGAATTTACTATTCTAAGAATTGGTTTCAATGCCCTAAATAGATTTCTTTTAATCTTCACAATAACTCTAGCAGGTAGATATAAACTATTAAACCATATTAAAGATAAGGAAATAAGCAATTTAGCATCTAATCCAATGTCACAAAACTGGTAAAGCAGCAAAACAGGAATTCAAATAACCATCAGGCTTAGAAAAGCTCATGCTATTAACTCATTACACAACCATTACACTCTCTCGCTGCAGGGTGCAGAGGGGACCTATGCAGCAGAGAAACAATTTGTCTCCATAATACAAATAAATTTTAAAAATCTTAAGTGCTAGGTTCTAAAGAAATGCAAACAATAATACAAAATTCAAAACAGTTACAATTCAAAACATTTCTCTAAGGGCCTCTTTCTTGACAACTTTCAAGTTAACCTTTCATGACCTGTGGGGCTCAGAACTCCCACCAATATTTTTAGTCTCTTCGAAATATTACAACCAAGAAGACTCTATTGAGCAGTTCTACTCTCAAACAAGTGGGCTCCACCATAACACAGAATGGATTCAATAGCAAAAAGGTTTGTTTCTGGTATTAAATAGTAAACATGGATGGTACAAACAGCCAACAGCGTTTGGAGTACACCTAGAGGTGCACTGGGAGAAAGATCTGATTCAATTACAAAAACCCAGCCATTCATAATTCTAGACAGCACAATTCTGCTCTAAACATACAAGTCCTCAAGGACATTAAACTGAATTTGGTAGCAAGTGTCGGAGATGAAGTTGGCTCAGGATAGGTCAAGGTTCAGAGTGTTTGTTGTTCACAGAACCATTAGGAGTTAGAGTCGACTCAAAAGCACATAAAAACAATGGTGGTTTCAATACAAGAAGGGACAAAATGAGGCAAAGAACCACAAAAATAAATTTTACTTTGAATAAGCTAGATTAAAACTCAACTCAGGTTGGACAAATCATTTTGATCTTTAAACTTACCAATGAGCCCCTTTGTATTACTTGAAGATGCAGCTATGTGAGCAGGCATGGGGACTGGTTTGGTTTCTTCTGTGGTCACAGATGGCATACTACTGCTTTCGGCTTCAATGGAAACATCTTTCCCACCCCTTCGCTTTATTGTGCCTGTATCACCTTCAGAGTCTTCTCCCCAGTAGCCTGTGGAAGACGCCCAGCTTGCCCGGGATTGGGCTTGTTCAAGACTCTCTCTACTTTGATTTTGCCTGCTGTACTTTGTGCTATGATCAGAAAACATGATTTGGTCCATATGGCTGCTTGAAGCCCAGAAGCCGGTAGCATCCCCTGAATAATCAAAGTGAGTATGCCCGAATGGAAGTGTTTCCCAGCTTCTCTGATGCTGGATGGTTTGTATGTTATCGTGGGAACCACTTGAGCATGAAGTCCAGCTCCCACGACCACTGTCAGCAGCATCAAGGGAAGCACGGTCCCCCTGATCTTGGGAAAGTTCTTCTGTGCTTGGAGAAGAAATTACTGTAGCTGTTGCATATAAACCTCGACTCTCAGACATTGGTGCATAGGACCTAAATGGTATAAAGAAATGAAAAACAAAGGGGGGGGAAGAAATATTGTTAACAAATCCAGTGAGAAAACCAAAATAACCCCCTTTCTTTCACCCCATGGAAGTGCCACTTGATTGCACTACATAGGTCAGTTCTGTCATGCCCAGTTTTCTCAACTAGTCACCACCATGAAATAAACAAAGATGGGATCACTGATTATAACAAAGGAATATTCTCCTTATAAGGTTAAAGATGACTCAAGACCATCAGATAATCTTAAGAAGCTCCTACCAAGGAACTGGGATAAATCCCTAACATTATCCTCTATTTTCAATACAGAACAACTGTGTTCCAATACAGTTGGAACAAAGTATGTCTGATGGAAGAGCAGCAATCAGAGCAACAAAAACATCACCAATACTTAATAACCTAGAAACTGAAAATTAGAACTGGGATGGCAGAACACCCTCAGGTATTATTCAAAGCAGAAATATGTACCAAGAAAAAAAAAATCAGTTACAAAATACAGGTAGAAATAGAATGCAAAAGAAAAGCCTCCTACCCTAAGCTGTATTGATCAGGCTCGATCATGGTCCGCCTTTCCATCCTGCCCCCACCTAGGTTTGTTTCCACAATGCTGACAGAATGCCTCTGGTGCCTCTCATCATGCAGTGAAACTGGGACAGAGTCAAAGGACGAATTGCTGACAATACTGGATCGTGAAGAAATCTCACTGTGACCAGAATCTGAAAAATTATCCACGGTACCACTAGGGGCCAAAGTATAGCCTGCATGGGAAATATAATCACAGTAATTAAGACACTGTAGGTTTTAAACAGATAAGGTCTAAAATACAGAAGCAAAATTAAAGGCAGACAAGGATCACTGATACTGCAACAATTAGGTGTAATGGCAACTTTGTAGGGCCAGAAATCCAAAATGTTCTATTTGTAAAAATCAGGTGATAAAGAAGGTAACTTTTTACTCTATTGAAGTTTAAGTTGCTTACTCAATGTTAAGAGGAAAGAAGAAAATGCTGTTATTTGAGTTAGGACATGATACAGAAATCACAGTACTAATAGAATATTCTTCCTTCCTTTAGCTATAAATTAGACTACTATTAGTATTTCTAAAACAAATGACAAGCAGATTTAAAAGCATTTTTGTTCTTTTTACACTCCCCTGAGTGCTAAAATAAGGAACTTATTTCCAAAACTTAATAATACCTTAATTAGAATTTCAAGTGGACATATAGACCAAAAGAATGAGACAATAAAACCTAAAAAAGATATTTTTCAATTCTGGCTACTTAGTTTTTCCAACCTTAATAATGTATTAAATGAATCACATAAAATCAATCATTTTGATGGACATAATATGCAAAATCCCAATTTTCCCCCAAAACCATTACTAAATGTTTAAACAGATGTACATTTCTTGGCCTGAAAGGACTTTGTCCTTTGTTGCTAAAAATAGTAATTCACAATGGAAGAGGCCTGTCTTCATATGTCCAATGGAAAGGAAAAAAAGCAAGCCAAATCTTTCTCTGACTTCCTCCCCCTTTTTTTATAACATCACTAATGATTTTACTTCTTAAAATACTGCTTTTATGTTATATGTAATGTAAATTTTACAAGACCATTTAACAACAAAATAAATCTTGAGCACCTAACAGCTGCAAATTTACACATTTAACAGTACTTCCTCATCTTTTTAGTAGATTATAAATTCCTGATTTATTTTTTAAAGTTTGCACAGGTCTTGACAAGATTTAATGTCTTCATATCTGAAATGTCTTTTTATAAAACTATGCTGCAAGAGCTGACAGATAAGATTTAAAGCTGTACCTGAACAGTCTGCTGGGAAAGAACTAAATCCAAAAAACACTTTTAAGAAAAGTAATCTCTCAGAAAGCATGTGCCATATATGGGAACACTCCCACTGTCCTTAACTAATGTGATGGTGGCAAGTTCTTTCTTTCCAACCCACGTTTTTTGGTTCTATAAACCCCACCTATCCCACAGGTCCGTGGTGCATTGTTATTCTTGTTACTGTTCTCACTTCCAAGAGAAGAGGAGGAACTGGTTAAGTCCAACTGCCCGGAGCCAAAAGATCTCAGCTGACTGCCAATGCCACCTAACAATAGGATGAAAAAAGAATTTAGATATATCCATTAAACAAGGACAACAGAGACCGATACCCACACAAAAAATGCACAGATGCCTGAAATTTCTAAAAAGTAAAATGCAAAAAGACATTTGCTGCATCATTCAAAATTTATTATGCTTCATGGGCTCCTTCTAGGGAGAATGGGTTTTTTGTCATTTATAACTGGCTTACACCTAATCTCTTAAAAGTAGGAGGAGAAAGCTGAGGAAGATTTTGTGGCAGGAAATTATCTCCATTTTAACATGAGCAAGTATCAACATTAGGAGGACTTTTAATTGTCTAAAATTTATTCTCTTTAAAAATATGATAGTATAGAAAAGGTAATCAAGACCCGTGTTAATACAATGAAAAAATAAATCAGGAAGGTATTAGTTTTCTTATATTTTAAAACTTCTCCACTCTATAATGTTATATAATCTCATTTAGTTAAAATAAATATTAATGTCAAAACACTACACTCTTAAAAGCAACAAATAGAAACTTGTTTTTTTAAAAGACCTTTGTTGTTGTTGTGTACTATCGAGTCAGAACCAACCCAGAGCTGAACCTCCAACAGGTTTTTCAGAGGTAGTAAACAGCATGGAAGAAGACTACCAGAGAGCAGCTAGTAAACTTGAACCAGGTACCTTTGGCTTGGCAGCACAATTCCTTACCACTCAAGCACCAGAGGTCTCTGGTGGGTTTTGTAGCTATAAACTTAAAACTATTTATTACAATATCAAGAACTAAGGGGGGAAAATTCATTGTATTTTATTAATTATGCAGTAAATAATTATAATTCACTGTAGCTAGAATATATAGCTGTTATGAAAAAAGTAATGCAATAATTATACCTTTCCTTGGAGAAGTTTGTGGAGAAGTAGGAGGAGAAGAAAGCTGTGAAGATGCATTTGAAAGGCTATCTTCTGCTTGTTTTCTGTGACGTTCCAAACTTCCTTCTTCAGACAAAGAAAGGATTTTCTTTAAAGCCTGTGGTGAGTTTATGCCTGAAGAAAAGTGAATGATCAATGTATGTGGTTTTAAGATGGAAAAAAAGAAGTAGCATTAATTAATATGAAAAAAACAATTTTTGTGGTAAGAATTCTGAATGTACTTTTAAAAGTTACCATCTTCACTCAATAGTATGTTAGGTGACAAAGAATTTTTTCCAAAAATAATTAGAAAAAAAAATATCTAAATTTAAGATAGAAGTAATACAGCTTTGATTACTTATTAATAGAACTAAATAAGTATTTTGGAACAAGCAAATATTATCTCAGGGGAGTGAGAAGAATATGTGAAAAGTAAAAAGCTAACTGAAATTAGTGAGTTAAGTAAATCAAATTTGTAAGGAATTCCATGTGCAGAGGGTCAGAGGAAGACAGAGGAAGACGATGACCTGGCCCAGTGTCTACAACAATGGGCTCACACATGACAGCTTGTGAGGATGGCAGGGGACAATGCTGTGTTTGATTCTGTTGTACACAGGGTCACCAGAACCATTACGATGGACCATCACAACAACAGTGTACTGGTTAATGTGCTCACCTGCTAACCAAAGTAAGCAGTTCAAACCAATCAGTGGCTACACAGGACAAAAATATGACAACCTGTTTCCAAAAACATTACAGCCTTGGAAACCTTTGAGGCAGTTCTGCTCTGTCCAATAAGGTTGCTATGAGTCAGAACAAGCTAGATGGCAACAACTTTTTTTTTTTTTACAAACTTGATCAAACAAAGGAATGAAAGAGAAGGCAGAAGACTCATAAAGTGTACAACAGAAACTATGGGAAAAGGTTTTTAGAAAAATGGAATGATCCAGGGTCAAGCGTAGGATAAGACAGGATGAAAAAAAGGATTATACACTCTAGTAAAAGGTAATCCTTTATAAAAGTCTCCCATATTGTTTCAATAGCCTTACTCTGAAAACAAGAGCTATAATTAAGAAGGCACTTTAGACTAATACTTGCTCAGTGTTAGTTTAAAAAAGTCATAGATCTAGCAGACTCCATTATTAAGGTGATAAAATTTGTCAAAGTTAATTGTTAATTTTACCTCGGTTAAGCGCTTTGATGTTACAGCACATTCTTAAAAAAATCATCTACATTGCAATACTTTATATATACTAATATACATAAAAATATGAAAATATCAACTATTCTAAAGTTACATGATTAATAGTTTATATTTGAAAAATATACCCAAGATCATCAGCATACAGAGATTTGAAAGATGCTGTCTTTCCAATACTGCGCAAAGAAATGAAGATGATATGACTTTGAGGAAGACATCTCAAAAGTGGATTCAGTGGTAACAAGGACCCCATCATTAAAAGAAATGCATAGTATTTGGAAATAAATGAAATATTTAATAAATCAGAGGGGGAAACATTGAATCCTAGTATTTATAAATTAATCCTAAAAAAACTGTGAATGTTGCTACCTCTGAAAGGCAGAAAAAGCAAATATTTTCCACTGAAACAAATGAAAGAAAAGTGGTAAGACTTGTGAGACCTGGAAAAAGAGCAGACTCATGAATCCATGCTCACAGGTTTCACAGTCTTAATAATATTTTAATAATGTTATTAAAGTGATTTAAAATATTATGATGAACAAGATAAATGCCCTAAGAAAACATGTATTCTTTAATTTTCATTTTTAAAGTTCATATATTCATATGGGCCTAAAAACATTCCACGTGATTACCTTGGGAACATAGGGAAAAGTGATATATTCACATGACTCTCACATTTAGGCTAATAAACAGCATTAAGTGAAAAAGGAAGACCGATAATCTTTCATATAAGAAATTCAGCATAAAAAAGGAAGTCAGGTTGCAGGGGATATAGGAATATATGCATACTGAGAATATAAGAGGAGAGCTCTAAATTTTCAAGCAAAATTGCTATCAAAACTAATTGTTGTCAAACTGGTTCTGACTCACACTGGATTCTCAGCTGGGTTTTTAAGGTTGTAAATCTTAAAAGATGGAGATTGTGCATTCTTCCCCCACCCCCCAGCTGCAGGTAGGTTTGAACTGCCAGAAAAGCTTGGCCTGTGGGTTAGCAGTGCAACTTGCTATGGACTACGCCATCAGAGGTCCCTCTAATGGGCTCAAACTCCAGTGCTATCAAACTGGAACCAACTCAGAGCTGATGATCCAGCAGGTTTCTGAGACTGTGAATCGCTTAGGAGATTGATCATCTTTCTCTCAAGGAGATGCTGGTGGATTTGAATCCCCAGAGACAGGGCCCTAAAGTTAGCAGTATAACGCTCTATGGACAAGGCCACCAGAGTTCGCATAATGGATAGAAAAGCATGTAATTAAGCTTCATAATCATAAGAAGGGTAGTAAAAATATTTGAAAGATAAAACATAGCAAGTCAAGATGTTCTTCCCTCATCTCCTCCATTAAAATATGGAGCTCTACTGACAATGAGGAACACAAGGACAGAGTTTATATGAGACACACCGTCTGAATCTTGCCCACCTCTAAAGGATTGTTGTGATTATTGTTGTGTGCTGTCAAGTTGGAACTGACCCACAGCTGACCTGCCAGCAGCTTTTCAGAGGCAGTTAATTAATTGCACGAGAGGAGACTGCTCATCTTTCTCCGGCACAGCAGCTGGCATGCCAGCGTAACTACGTGCCTTGGGGATTGCATCACAGCTTCTTAGCACTACGTTATCCGAGCTCCCAAGTTGTGACAGTAGGAATTAAGGGTTAGTTACCAACATTCCTTTCTTTATCTAAGTAAACTCTTTACAATGGGCTTCTTCTTAAACAACTTTTTCTTTTAATCACTGTTTCCTCTCATACAGACAGTAAATTTTACAAATTATTTTGTTGTGCTCCTTACATAAAGGACTAATCCAGTAGAAAAATGACTTTTAATAAGAAAAATGAAACATAACTTGGCTCTGTTACACATCGGAAATCAGTAATTTAATAAATTTACTTCCAATCATTTGACTTAATTCTGCCTAAATTCATTAATCATATAAATATAAGGACAACCAGCTTAAATTATATGTAAGACTAAGGCAACTTCTGTACTAATTAATCATTACATTACATTAATAAAAGTATAACCTTCCTATTCTACTTCCTTCTCTGACAAATAAGCAGTATTAAAAGAGATGCTCTAAAGGGGACCTCTAGTGGCAAGTCCACAGGGAATCACACTGCCGACCCAAAGGCTGCACACCTCCCTGGAGGGTGGAACCCACCAGTGACCCCCTGTAGGACAAAGATGGGCAATCTCCTCCCATGCATTTCATAGCCTCAGACAATCCACTGGAGGGGAGGCTATGAGTCAATTTTGACTCAATGGCAATGAGGTGAATGACTTCAGTATTTATAAAAACAGTTCCTTATACTGCTGAAAGTAATAAAACCCCTGCTGTTTCCAAGGTAATTCCAAATCACGGCGACCCCGCATTACCACACCAACTGTTCTTGAGGGTTTTCTTCATCTTTCTGAAGCAGATCACCAACCTTTCTTCTGCTCCACTAAGTGGCTTTGAATTGATAATCTTTAAATTAGTGATTATGGTCAAATACAAATCATTTGTACCATTTAGGCACCTGAACAGTAGACTTTGGTAGAGAAGTAACAGTCATAGGGGAACACAGAATTTTGAACAAGTTCATCCAAGGTAAGTATTTGTCCTAATCTGAATACATGACAGTGAATAAAACCATAAATGGAAATTCATTTCATCACTTACCAAAAGGTGGAAGATCCTTCACAGGTACTTTTTTCCGTGAAGGATAAAGGGACACAGCAGGAACCTGAAGTCCTTGGTTGATTTTATGTGGCGCGGGCTGAGGCTGAGGCTGAGGTTGGGGCTGTGCTTTCTGCTGCGACCCTGCTCTTGGAGCAACTGGGGAGGTCTCTGACTTGACAGGCTTTTTGTCCCCAGGATTTTTAGGCACTGGTAATTGATTTGAAAATGGAATAAAAAAAGTCAAGGCGTTAGTAGCTATGATCAACATAATTTTAGAACTGTATATGCATTTTCTGCAAATAGAATATTAAAATGCATGTCATTTTCCTTCTGCTTGCAGAGAGGAACAGGTATTAGGATAGGACTAAACCTAATTGTAGAAAACAATAAAGACACTGCATGGCAATAATATTTACTTTATTAAACACATCTCTCAAATAATGATGAATATTGCATTAAAAATAGAACTAGAAGAATGTTGATAGTTAAATTGTATTTTGTGTATGTCACCAGCTGCTCCTCAGGAGAAGGATGAGCATTCTCCTCCTGTGAGATTACCTGCTTCTGAAAACCTGCTGGTGGGTCAGCTATGGTGCAGTTCTGACTCTACAGTACACAACAACAACAACACATATATAAAAATAGATAAAAGATGAAAGCTGCAAGTTTAAGACCACTGAAAGTTATGTTTCTAAAAATGATGCAAAAATTCTGACTCTCATATATAATAAGCTAGATTTTAATTTAGTAAGTAGTAATAACTGCAGTGTTTAAACTATCAAAGTTTCTCAAGGAGTATTATCAACTATGTTAGCAAACTGTGGCCAACACAGTTTGAGATTTCTAATTGGCACAGATGGCAAGCCAATTTAAGAGGACAATCAAATGCTACATATGAATATCTTAATAATCACAACAGCTCTAGGACATGTACACTTTTTACATACAAGGAAACTAAGTAGGGAGCTAAAGTAACTTGTGTGTGGTCACATTCTAGTAAGATGAACAAGCAGAACTGGAACTCAGAACGAGAGGATAAACTTCAGGTTAAGTTCTTCACAGGACCAGACAGTGCTTTCATAGGTCAGAGGTAAGTGCAATAATTTGAATCTTCTCAGATCTTTTTATTAATTACATTTTCTAAAAGGCATTTTAAAATTTGCCTACAGACAAATCATACATGGAAATATCACAGATGGAAAATGCATCAGTCTCACAAACATAGCAGGAGATGGATGGTCAATCTCTTCTAGTGCCTCTAAAAACCCACTAGAGAGTCAGCTATGGGTCAATTCTGACTTGACAGTACAAAGCACAAGTATAGATGGTGATTAAGAAAATGGACTAAAATTTTAAAGCATGTATATATTAAGATAAAGAGAGAGATAAATTCATATGACAGCTGAATGCTGTTCAAATTTAAGATACAAAAAGGCAGCAAAAAGGTACTCAGTTCTGTGCTCTTCGGAGCCAGCTCATTCCCTCAGATGGCCCCTCATTTTATAAGCACCTCTGTGAGAAGACGAGTGACAGAAAAGGGAGTCATGTCTTCCCATGTGCATCCCTTGTTCTGCGTGCTAGTTGCTCCAGGAGGAAGCAAACCAGCAGCCACTCCAATGGGCCAACCACATCATCCTCCCCATGTTGAGGCCTGGGCCGGGACATTGATGCATTATTTTCAAGAGTGGCACTCAAGTCCAAAAAAACCCCAACATGCCTCAGGACTGCTGAATATTTAATTATTTCCCCCTTTACATGAAGTTCTATTTTGTCACCATTGCACAAAGAAAAAATCTGCATTCCCAAACACAGAATCTGTAGCCACTTTAAGGAAAACAACTCACATGTGTTGGTTGCTGGCTCGCATTGCAGTGATAATGTCTGAAGGCTCTCCTCATCCATTTCAAGCTCCAAATTGGACAGGTATTGCTTTACTTTGCGTGCCATTTGGGCATCTTCATAAAGCTTTTTGGCATTGAGAAAGGAACTACGGCGTACCCGTTTTTTATGACCACCTGTCTGAGCAACATCTAGCACTGTTGCATTTGTACTACCCTGGCTGAGAGACCTAGAAGATGAAAAGGTAGAAATGCAGCTCATTCTAGCATGAGATTATATACTTGAACCATGACCAGATTTACATAAATAGTCTATGCTCCAAAGTGTGTATGTCTCACTCCACTAAGTAAACTTAATGCAGAGTAATAAGATTTTTTTTTTTTTTAGTTAAAAATTTTCCATACATACATCCAATCCTCACTTATTGGCAAGGTAAGGTTTCAAAGATCAGATTATTATGCAAAAATAAGTATTATGAAAAATAGATGACCATACTGGATCAAAGCAACTAAAGATGGACATGTTATTACATAATTGCTTTATTATGTAATTATACAATTGTTAAACTACTGAGGAGTATGGCTCAGCCAAGCTGCCACATTACTTTAACTGTCAAAGCTAGATATATGTTAATGAATAAAACAATTGGACAGTAGATCCCCCCCCCTTTACTTCTATTGTAACACAAAACATCAGCTAATTAGTTGATAAGTGAGGAGTAAGTGTATATACAGGTACTGCTACTTTCTATTTCAACTAGGAAATTCCACTTTTTTATATCTACTGAGCATTTAAGGCAGTTCTCTCAGAGAAGCCAGCAAATAATAAGTTATATGTAAGAGCTCATGCAAGAGTATACAGCTACAATCATGACTTAAAACATTAAGCCTACTTCTTCTAAAAAGAAATTTTACAAAGATTTAAAAAAAATTAGCTCTAATGTTCACAAGCATTTTCTGACTCTGGGTTGAGTGGGGTGAGTTTTTAAGTAATATAGTCAATCTGTTAATAAAATGGTCATGCAAATGTAAACGTATGTATGGAAATTATTTAGCACGTAAGTTGTTAAAATTCTTTTTAAAAAGGATTCATGGTTAGTTGAGCTGTAAAAAAATTAGTTTTATCATCCTGGGGCACATTTTATATTTATTTACTTCTCAAGTATCTATGCGATATTACTTTAACTGAATAATTTTCCTTCCCATATTTGCCCACGATCTGGACTTTAGGTTTTCCTCATTTTAAAAATCACAAATTATACTGAAATCTATTTTTCTGAAAACTGAGAAGTATGCCTTTCCTACAATTCCCCAGAACTATCACCAGTCATTTCATAGCTCTCATGGATCACGATCTCAAGAGCAAAAGCCCCACAAATGAAACTTGAAGTCAGTTTTTGCCATCTGAAATTCAGCTAGAGCAAGAGGGTTAAGGGAGGTAAAAAAAAGGCAAAAATGCAAAGCATCGGAAAATACAGTATGGAAGGAAATAACGCAATGAGCAGAGTTAAGAAACATGGGTAGGTAGGCGAGGTCTCCACCACTTACCCCAAACTCCTCCACTTCTTCTTCCTGTAAGTGAGAGCCATGGAGATTGAAGCATGGGTGTAGAGAGAAAGACAGATCACAAGCTCAGAAAGAGAGGACTAGACTTCTGGATAAGCAGTACTAGAAGCCCACGAACATTAAAATGCATAACCACCTCTCACACACAACTCTATATGAAATACTTTTCTGACTCCAAAGAAGAACATGGTTCAATTTTTTGTTCTGAAAGAAAACAGACCATTTTCTCTCTCTTCACTTAATCAATCCTTTTGACTATACTAACAGCTAATCTGGTGGGGCCAGATTATTCAATAAGCAAAGTAACCTGGCACAGATCAGTCCAATTCTCCCTTTCTACTAATTTGCAATGCAGTATCTTATCTGCCCTTCCCCATGCCAAAGATGTGGTGAAACTCTTACAACATTTCTTATCACAGATTAGCAAATAAAAATAAGCCTGTGTGTGCCTTCCTCAATCCAAGGCAGGTGCAAACTATATTTACTGCTTAGCCCACCTTAAATCTAGTAGGAAAAAAGGAGTCAATACTGTTTGGCTTATATATCATTCAGTTTTTAGTACCCAGTTATGAGTTTTAGTTCTCAAGCCAATGTTCTGAAAAAAATAAGAACTATTTATGCTGAATGTTAAATTACAAATTTATTTTTTAAATTTATTATTCATTTCAATGAAAATTTACAGAAACTTTGGACTTCCACTCATTCATTGTTAAATTACAACTTTTTTAAGTTGTTTTCACTACTAGTCAAGAGGACACTTGATGCAGATTATATTCTAGTGTCTTCTCAGTAGTTTAAAGGAGACTCCAAAAATGTGCTAATATTTGCCATGCCACAGATATAAACATTCAAATGTTCCTCCTAAATTATTAACAAGTTCTCACCTCTACCACCCCTAATCCCACACATGATACTGAAGGTGACAGACTCACCGAGTCCTGAACATGAGGGCTGGGTCCATGTTAACTGAAGCCATTCGGCCAACATGGCGAATTTCTTTTGCAATCATCCTCAACTTCTCAAAATTGACCAGCCCATCTACTTTAGAGTCATTTCCTACAATTAACAAAAAGTAAAAACAGAAATTACAATGACATTGATTCTAGGCTGCAACAAGTGAAGGTAAACATATTGTTTGATGTATTCACCTTCATGAAGAAATGTGAGATCCTTCTTTATAACTGGAAACAGTGGGATTATAGGAGGCTGTAAATTTTGACTATTCAGAACATTGCGATACTTGGCCATGTTTCTAGAAGGGTCAAAAAGGTCTTGGAGATCTTGAAACAGCTTTTCATATTTGTTGGGAAGTTTTTCCCATGTAGTTCGCAGCCTTGCTACTGGTGCCAAGTTTAGGCCGCTGAAAAAAAATGGCATAAAAATTTAATGGTCCATTTTTAAGTAATGAAGGAAACAGAATCATGTTTTATTAATACACAGCCCCTATGTGTGTCTGTTTATATGGATATACATTTTAAAAAGGTGAAGAAACTACTAATGTAAATTCTAGTCATAAGACTAGAAGCTGGATGCAGTGGTCAGAGCTATGGTGTTTTAATCGTTCCCCCTTTATATTACCTCGATCCATAAGCAAAAATCACTAGACTATAGTAAGTGTTAGATGTACCTACTTTGTCCATACATAGAAGAGTGCTTAATACAGAGTCAACGCTGATTAAGTGAACAAATATCCTACCAAAAAAGCGCCATAATAGCAATGAGCATACATGCTCTGTTGGGGACTGCAATATATTGTGTATATCGGGCAGGCAGATTTGTGTCCTAGAGACAACAAGCAGTTTTAGCCACATCTGAGCAAGCATGGGAGTGCTATGCTGAGTCACTGCTTTAAGTGTAACTGTGCATAGTGATTAGTGCACAAGTGTGGTAAAGAGCCACCTTTGCTCTGAGAACTGCAAGACCTTGGTGAAAAAGGTCCTGAGTGGCTTGCACAGCTCGTGCTCTAACCCTCACTCCTCCATCAGCAGCTCCTCCTCGTGCCTTCTCATGGAACCTAAGCATCTGGCATTGGCTAATTGCTTCGGACCCAACATGTAATGCAATGAGCAGGATTTGGACATGACAAATGACACTATTCAAAGAACGTGAATGTGACAAGTTGGTGCTGTGAGCAGAATCTGGACATCACGGGGTCAAACTTTTCAAGAGAGAAAGTTACTAATTTCAGAATCACTCCCACCACCAGGTAGCTTACAATTTCTACTTGTATTTTCTCCGAGCTTCATTCTAGGCACAAAGGAAGAACACTAACATTTATTGAGTATCTGCCTTGTGCTTTTCTGATGGAAGTAAAAACATACATTATTTAGTCTTTTTGACAACTTTGTGGGGTACGGTTACATTTCACATACATACTCTAATATTCTGAATAATGTGCTCAAGGTCACAGGACTTAAAAAAGTGGCGAATAAAGATTTTCTGGGCTTCAATCCAAATATACAAGTACTTAAAATTAAGGATTAAGATTAGAATCCAGAAAAAAAGGGATTGGTTATATGTTTCAATTGAGAATCACAGAATTTATACATACTATGTATGGTATTCCTGGACTGATTTTTAACTGGTGAATTGTTCTGAGTCTTACCTGATGATTGCAAACATTGAGTTAAAATTCTTGCATTCCCTACAATGTAGTGCTATCTTGATGAAATGCTTAATGATCTTCATCCTCTTCAGCTGATTTGTCTCTCTCAAAATTTCAGATGCTACCCAAAATGTTTCCTGGTTAATGACTTCTTCAAATTTTTTCAGGTTGGCACAGCTGGTTTTTGATTTGAGTTTAAATAAATCATCTATATATTCAGTAGGCTCAATGTTGCGGAAGAGTTCAAAATTTCGCATAGAGAGCTGTGTGGCAACTTCCACAGTACTGAGCTGCAGCAGGGAAATTTGACTCTCTCTCAACAATTCCTGAGCATCTTCATCTGAGCAAAGCGTTTCTGTTTCCATGTTGTTTTTCAGATAATACCTATGGGAAACATAAGCATGTCAGATTTAAAGACTAAGCAGCCGTCTTGCTTGCAATTCACTGAACGAATATGCTGCTTTTTAGGCAAAGTCCAAGAGCACATGGAAGTGAATAATGAGAAGATTCTTCACAATCCAGAGAGAAGATTAATTGGTATCTTGTTACCAGAAGTCACTGAAGGAAACTAACAAATCATAGGAATTTCATTTGGGACACCCTATAATTAAACTTTCTCCTTTCTAAATTTTTTCCCCCTCAAAATGACAGAAAATAGCAGTATATTTAGTTTAAATGAAGGAATAGGATCCAGAGGAGAAGATCTGAGACCAACATTCTAATTTCCCAAAGTAAGAGGTGTTAAACTGAATCAGCTAGGTTTACTTATATAAATGGCAAAGCAGCCTGTAATCCACTCACTTCTATTTGTGGTCCTATCAACAGAATGGTCCTAAAAATAAAGCTTAACTTTTAAATACTTGATTTTCATAAAAACTCTATAGGTAAGTGGAATAGGAATTTCTCCTATTAATCAAATAAAGAAAATAGAGGATCCAAAATATAAATGGCTCTAGCTATGCTAATGCAGTCAACGGAAACTCAAAGCTGGCATGCCTTTTTCTAAAACAACTTATGAAAATATTACTCAGCTGTTTGTAATATTTTCCCTGTGCTGGAAGCACTGGTCAGAGTTATAGTTTTAATCTTTTCCTCTTTATACCATCTAGATGCATAAGTAAAACCCACTAGAATATAAGTATCATGAGTATGTTGTGAATGCAAGATGGTTCTTGCCCTGATCCAAATTTCATTAAGGAAATAAGTAAGAATTAGCACAGTAGGGGGTCCTGTCAACTTTGTCTTTTTATGGTTTTCCAAAGTAAACTTTTATTACAGAAAACACACTGGACCACTGTCATTCACTGACTGAACCTCGGTTCTGATTACTCATGCACTTGTGGGATATATCCATCTATAATGTCTTGAAAAAGAACTAGAATCTTGAAACTTCTGCTCAATGGAACCCTGTTATAACAAAAATGTCTTCAAACTTATCTGGTTGTGTTGGTGTTGTAAAACCAGCACAATTAAAGAAATACAAGCAAGCTATAGCTGTTAGTAAGAAAATCACAGTTCTGAATACATTCAAACATGCTTTAGATATGTAATGTGACAAAAACAGTCAAAGTACAATGAAGTACTTTATGGCAGGTACAAGTAATTTCTAGAACTAGTTAATTTTCAATCAGTGCAGAATACATAATCATGAGGCATAAAACTTCCCTTTCAACTTCATTTAATCCATAGTTTGAAAACACACATGACACATATTTATCAGAAGACATCAAGGGGATGACAATATTGTTTTCTCAAAAGTAATACATGATACAAGCACTTAACACAGCAAGGGAATCCAGCTCTGTAGCAATTAAAGCTTAATGACTTTCATAGTATAATGTACAAGGTTGTTATGTGCCCACAGGTCTGAACTGACTCATGGCTTCCTCTCCAGCGGGTTGTAGAGGCCATAAAGTACATGGGAGGAGATGCCCATATTTCTCCCAAGAAATAGCTGGTGAATCAAGCTGAGTACCTAGGGTTGCACCCACTAGGTCACCAGAGTCTCAAATGGACAAAAGAGCTTTCACCTATAATGTAGGTAAATCAAACACACTGCCACACACATCTCCACCTAAATTAATGAACCTACTAGAAAAGTTAAGTAAGTATGCAGAAGTAAATTACACAAAAATATTACTAGAAAATATGTGTTTAAATGTACCTATCCAAGGTAAAGAAAGCATCAGAAGTTAATCTATGACCTTGGAGTGGGTTTACTCCACTACTTGGCAGCTCAGAGTACTAAGGAATAGTGTGAGAAGATGGAACTTGCACACTGGTGGTGCAGTAGCTGCATTCAGGTCACAGTTTCCTTTGTTTTCAGTCCACAGCTATCGTGTATATGCAGTAATCCATGGTGAAAGGAAAGTGCCTTTTTCTTTTAAATCTGTAGGGGTAGTTACTAATTTTAAAAGCCTTTTCAAAGTAGGTAATTCTTAGATTTTGATATTGGTTTGAAAAGAGAACAAAAATATTAAAATAGATACAGATTATATACCTTCCACTGAGCTGTATTCTATCAGCAAGTTTGGAGAGCTGGTCTGGAAGTCTTCTTTGTTTGATTACTCCCTCAGGAGTGACAGATACCTCACACAGCGAATACTGATCTGGGGTTGCAGTAACAGCAAACTCCCTGATAGCCTGGATGACCACTTCTTTTGCTGTGGTGTCCTTACTGATCATGATGTATCGACTTTGTTGATCAGCCTTAAAAACTCTTAGCACTTGATCTGGCAAATCTATAAGAAAGAAAAGTTATCCCCAAGATTTTAATATATGGAAAGGCAATCAAGCAGAGTAACCCCTTGCCCTGAAAACCAAAAAAGCCAAAAACTTAGAGCAGGTGATGCTAAACTTTTCCTGATTCTAGTTCTTCCTCAAAGATTCAGATAATATGCTGATTGCCTGCAAGAACATATCTTCTCCAAATAAATGATCTAAAGGCAAATTGCAAACACACTAATACACAAAATTGGCACGCTGTGAGCAAAGGAAAACAAAATTTTAAATTAGTTAGTTTTTATTATAACCTAAAATTAGTCTTTATTATATTTTTAAAGTCTATTGAGTTGACCTATAGGGGAAAAATAAGCTCAAAGAGATAAATTGATCATATCAAAACATGAAGAACTGGTTCCAAAATTTAAGATCTCTATTAACTTAACATCTGATATAATATATGCCAAACCAAGAAAGACACATATAGGCATTACCATTACAAGGAAAAGGTTGTAAAAAGAAAACAAAAATAGAAGTATGGGGTGCTCACCAGGAGTAGCACTGAAGTCTAAAATGCGATGATGTGACTGCAGTAAGTCAGGATTACTGGATGACAATGTTCCACTGACAGGCAAGGCAGTGGGAATGTGCTTCGTCTGCCTTAATCCTACTATGCTGTCATCTTGAGACTGGCCAATTCCAATATCACTGAACAAAGGAGAAAAATCAGACATTAAGCAATTTGCAAGTTAAATAACTGTAGGACATCAAATCATGATAGGCACAAACCATATATAAACTAAAACCATAGAAACCAAATCTACACCCATCACAACAATTCCAACTCTCAGAGTCAAACTGTGCCATCGAGTTTCCAAGGCTGTAAATCTTTATGGAAGCAGACTGCTACATCTTTCTCTCAGAGAAGCTAGTGGGTTTGAACTGCCAGCCTTTTAATTATTAGTAGCCTAGTGTTTTAACCACTGTAATATTAGGGTGTCACCATAAAAAACTCATATCTCATAAAATGAGTAGTTTTATTTTGAAAGTACTATTTAACTGTTCAAACCTAACCTATTTTGCTCCTTAAGTATTATGTTTCTCTTAAACACGTTTTTAACTAGAAAAGCCCTAACAAATATTAGTAGCTTTTCAGACAAAAATGCATTTAAGAAAATATAAACTCTAATTACTATAGGAAATAAATATTTAAGAGTACATTAAAAAATGTGTTTACTCTCACTCAACCAGTGGCTTTTGGATAAACTGTTTAATAATCTGACCTTAAAGAACTGAATAAAATTAATAGAAGGGGGGCAAGAAACCCCTCCCTCAAACCGTCCCAATTTTATTCTTTAGGATTTCAGAGGAGGAAAAAAATTAAAAAGATCACTATGAAGTCAAATGTAAGGAAACCCTGGCACAAACGTGATTTTTCTAAATTATACAGAGCACGATAAAAGCAGTGGAATTTCTTAGCATCAAAGATACAGCACTTGTTGCACCCTTCTCCCCGCCCACCCCACCTCCAACACTCTTCTCCAACATCACAGCTCAAAGACATCCACCCCCCCCGTTTGCTCCTCTCCTTGAAAAGCAAAATGGAATTACAAAATCTCTGTAATGTTCATAAAAATGAAAAATAAATTAATTTAAAAAAAAAAACACAGCATTTGAAATACAATGAGTCACTCCTCCTTTCTTCCCTCCCTAAAGGCAAAGGTCTAGTTACTCCTTTAAGGTTCCAGAAAAGTGGTGCTTATTACTGAGAGCTACAAACTCACTTCCACTTATAAAAAGCCTAAAACTGAAGATGGCTCCTTAAAGATTATTTGATAGTACATGAAAGTTCCTTCTAGATTTGAGCATCAACTTAAAATGACAAGCATGCAAAATGAATCAACCATATGTGTGTGGTTCTGACCAATTTCTAAAACATTGTTGAAATAAAAAATATACTAACATACAAATGTAAATAAAGTCATTATAAAAAATAGTAAAGACATTTTGCATTTTTAAGGGAAGAGTTATCTACTATTTTAATGTTGTTGTGAGCTGCTGAGTTGGAACCAACCCAGAGCTGATCCATGAGTTTTCAGAGGTAGTAAATTGCACAGGAAAATATCCATCCTTCTCCGGTGGAACAGCTGGTGGATTTGAACTGTGTGTCACTGGGATTGCATTGCAGCTTTTTACCACTAACATCTGTGCTAAAAAGAAAACTAGCAGCACTATTTATCTTTATTTTGGAGGGAAACAGAAGCTATAGAGAGGTAAATAAGCCAGGGAAGAGATTTGAAATCAAGACATTAAATTTCTAAGTAAGTATATATTAGCATACACATCAAAGACTTAAAATATTAAATCATGGAAAACATTAGACCTATTAACATTATCCGTACAACTTTATTTTTCAACCACTTTGCACCTCAAAATATTGGATGGCTGACTCTGAGAAGAATGGGAATCCCAGAACACTTGATTGTCCTAATGAGAAACCTATACTTGGACCAGGAGGCAGTCTTAGGAACAGAGCAAGGAGATACTGCACGGTTCAAAATTGGAAAGAGTGTACACCAGGCATGTGTCCTATCTTCATACCTTTTCAATCTATGAGCAGAACAGATTATCTGGGAGGCTGGACTGTATGAGAAGTGTGGCATCTGGACTGGTGGAAGATTCATCATCAATCTGCGTTATGCAGATGACACAACCTTGCTTGCTGAAACTGAAGAGGACCTAAAGTGCTTGCTGCAGAAGGTCAAGGACTGCAGCCTTCAATATGGATTGAGGCTCAATATCAAGAAGACAAAGATTCTCGCCACTGTGCCAATTGGCAGCATCAGGATGGATGAAGAGATTGAGATTGTTCACAGCTTGAGTTTGCTTGGCTCCACAGTCAACAGTCTTGGCACCAACAGTCAGAAAATTAAAAGATGTATTGCAATGGAAAAGTCTGCTGTGAGGAACCTCTTCAAAGTACTGAAGAGCAATGGTATCATTCTAGAGACTCAGGTGTGCCTGATACAGGTCATGGTCTTTGCAATCACTTGCTATGCATCAGAGTGTTGGACAATGATTAGGGAGGATAGAAGGGGAATTGATGCCTTTGAGCTGTGATGTTGGAGAAGAGTATTGAATATAACACGGACTGCTAAGAAAACGAACAGGTTCACCCTGTTGTTGTT